GAGGTGGCCAAAGTATTGGAGTTTCAGCTTCAACATCAGTCCTTCCAATGAACACCCAGGACTGATCTCCTTTAGGATGGACTGGTTGGATCTCCTTGCAGTCCAAGGGACTCTCAAGAGTCTTCTCCAACACCACAGTTCAAAAGCATCAATTCTTCGGCACTCAGCTTTCTTCACAGTCCAACTCTCACATCCATAGATGACCACTGGAAAAACCATAGCCTTGACCAGACGCATAGCTCTCTGAATTCTGGAGTGACTGTCCCCCAAAATCTAATGATTCCGTTTCTTATACTTTGAACTTCAGTACCTTGTGTGGATTTTCAGTCAATACCTGGTTTGGCCCCGGTTGTAACTGCTTGTTTGCACACTTAATCTTACTTGATCCTGACTTACAGGAACAACGTCAGAGTTTGCATGGGCCACTGTTTGAGGCTGCAGCACAGTTTTTCCTTCCCCTTCATCATGGACACATGACACAGTTTCAGCCAATCAGAGGTCTTCCCTGGGAAGCTGCCGGAATCACAGAGCTGGAGTAAGTAATGTGAGTCAGGTACAGACATAGCCATCTTTCCACTTTGGCATCTTGGCCCTGTTTAATCCTAGATCCAGCTGTACCTGAGACTTCATAAATTGTCATCATTTCCTATCCCTTGAAAATACTCCTCCATTTTTTGCGGTCCAGTTTAAATTATATTTCTGACAGTAGAAACCTAAAGAATTTCTGCTAAACCTATCAAATTAAAAAAGATAAACTAGAGACTTCCTCGGTGGTCCAGCAGTTAAGAATCCACCTTTCAATGCAGGGGACAGGGTTTCAGTGGATGGATCTGGGAACTAGGATCCCACATGCAGCAGGGCAGTTAAGCCTGAGTGTGCAACCAAGACCCCACACAGCCAAAAATAAATAAAATAAGTTAATTAATTAAAAAAAAAATGATACACCACCCTGCACTTTAAAAATGAGAGGAGGAGTATTGTAAAACTCAATGCTGACAAAGTGAAACCGGTAGACATATATTTTCTTTTAAGTGGAAGAAAATGGCATTATGTTTCAAAATCCATAAAAGTGTCACACCCTGCAACTCAGTAATTTATTTCTGAAAACTTACACTAAGGAGGCCTTGCAAATGAAGGGAACTGCTCTGTGCCAAGGCCTTGCAGCAATGTCACCAATTTTAAAATAGCAGAAAGAAAATAAATATCTAACAACAGTGGACTAGTTGATTAAGCTATATTTCTTCCACTAGACAGAATATTTTCCATTCATTAAAAAATTATATTTCAATCCTCCCCCACCCCTACCCTGGGGCGGGGTACAGTGGGCTGAACTTAGTGGTTAGATTTTAAACAATAGAGAAAAGGGAAAATAGAAACTCAACAGCAAAAATACTGGCAACACCTCCTGTAGTGGGTTGAATGTGTAGTGTGCATGTGCTCACGTGCTGGGTTGTGTTCGACTCTCTGTGACCTTATGAACAGACTTGCTCGCCAGGCTCCTCTGTCCATGGAATCTTCCAGGCAAAAATACTCAAGTGAGTTGCCATTTCCTCCTCCAGGGGGTCTTCTCGGCCAAGGGATCAAACCCGTGTCTCCTGCATTGGTAGGTGGATTCTTTACCAAGGAGCTACCTGGGAAGCCAGTGGGTTGAATGGTGGCCCCCTAAACACATGTCCAAGTCCTGACCCCAGTACCAGTGAAAGTGACCTTATTTGAATAAAGAGTCTTTTCAGATGTAATTCAGCTAAGGAGCCAGGGGTCATCTGGGATTTAGGTTGGAGCTGGAACCCAGTGACTGATAATCTTCTAAGAAAAGGCAGAGGGAGATTTGAGATGCAGAAAAGACAGAGGTGGAGACGGGAGTGATGCGGCCACAAGCCAAGGGATGCCTGGAGCCCCCGGAAGCAGGGCGTCACAAAGAAGGACTCTTCCCTACAGCCTCTAGAGGGAACATGGCCCTGTCAGCACCTTGACCTTGATTTCAGACTTCTGGCTTCCAGGAGTGCAAGAGAATAAATGTGTGTTATTTAAGCCAGAGTCTGTGGTCATCTGATATACAATCATGAGAATCTCATACACCGCCTTAATCAAGTAATTCAGGTTATGTCACTGTGACAAGTCATGTGGAAGTCAGGGATCCCGGATATGGCAAGATGAGAAGGGCGCCTCAACTCTGGTTTTCCTCAAACTCCCATTCTAATCATGACAAGGACATCAGGCAGACCCAGATCAGGGGAGCCTGAAGGATGCCTGGCCCGTCCTCCCCAAGACTTCAAAGGTCATGAGCAACAGGGAAAGCTCAAGGAGTTGTCCCAGCCAGAGGAAACTGACAAGATGTGATGATTTAATGGAACAAGGTTCCCTGGCCAGGGTTCTGGACCAGAGAGAGGACATGGATGGAAGAACTGGTGACATCTGAATAAGGTCAGATGGTTGGTTGACAGCAGTGCACTGGTGTCAATTTCTTACTTGTACAAATAATAGAACTGATAAGGTAAGCTGTTCCTATTTGGTGACTGTGGGTGAAGAGATAGGGAACTCTCTGTGTTGTCTTTGCAACTTTTCTGTAGATCCGAACTTATTCCAGTATTAACAGCTCATTTAAAAAGTCACATGGGGACTTTCCTGGCAGTCTGAGCTCCTAATGCAAGGCACATGGGTTCAATCCCTGATCTGGGGACTAAGATCCTGCGTGCCACACGCTGCAGGGTTGGGCCAAAAAGACCAAAAACCAAAACAAGATTTCAAAATCATATGACCAAAACATGGAAGCAATCTAAATGTCCATCAACAGATGAAAGGATAGAGATGTGATATATTGCATATATAAATAAATAAATAAAATAGATATTACTCAGCCATGAAAAGGGCTTCCCTGGTAGCTCAGCTGGTAAAGTGTCCACCTGTAATGTAGGAGACCCCAGTTCGATTCCTGGGTCAGGAAGATCTGCTAGAGAAAGGATAAGCTACGCACTCCAGTATTCTTGGGCCTCCCTGGTAGCTCAGCTGTAAAGAATTCGCCTGCAATGAGGGAGACCTGGGTTTGATCCCTGGGTTGGGAGGATACCCTGGAGAAGGGAAAGGCTACCTCCTCCAGTATTCTGGCCTGGAGAATTCCATGGACTGTATAGTACATGGGGTCACAAAGATTTGGACACGACTGAGTGACTTTCACTTTCAGCCATGAAAAAGAGTGAAATAATGCCATTTGTAGCAACAAGGATGGACTAGATATTATCATATTAAGTGAAGTAAGGCAGACAAAGACAAATATCATACGATATCACTTGTATGTAGAATCTAAAAAAGATACAGATGAGCTTATTTGCAAAACAGAAATAGACTCACAGACATTGAAAACAACTTATGCTTACCAAAGGGGATAGTGGTAGCTGGGGGAAGAGATAAATTAGAAGTTTGAGGTTAACATATACACACTACTATATATAAAACAAGAAAACAACAGGACCTCCTGTGTAGCACAGGGAACTATACTCAATATCTTGTAATAACCCATAATGGAAAAGAATCTGGAAAAGAATATGTGTCTATGTATAACTGAAAGAAACACAACATGTTAAATTAACCACGCTTCTGCTGCTGCTAAGTTGCTTCAGTCGTATCCGACTCTGTGCGACCCCATAGACGGCAGCCCACCAGGCTCCGCCGCCCCTGGGACTCTCCAGGCAAGAACAATGCAGTGGGTTGCCATTTCCTTCTCCAATGCATGAAAGTGAAAAGTGAAAGTGAAGTCGCTCAGTCGTGTCCGACTCTTCGTGACCCCATGGACTGCAGCCCACCAGGCTCCTCTGTCCATGGGATTTTCCAGGCAAGAGTACTGGACTGGGGTGCCATTGCCTTCTCTGAAATTAACCATACTTCAGTTTAAAAAGTCACCTGTAACAGAGATGCACTATATAGAGTAACTGTGATGAGGAGGAGGAGCTCTTCCATGAGTTCAGGGTTTTTGAACACAAGCCGCTAGAGGCACCCATTCTGCTTTATGGTGCCTTACAATAATTGTTACGTTTTCCTTCCCCAGAAACCCGTATCAGTAGATTGACTTTACTGTGTGCATGTGAGCAGACCCAAGTTTGGTTCATTAACAAAAGCACCCCTTCCATTTTCTAGCCTGAGACCCCCTAAAGGACTCACAGGTATCAAGACCACCTGGAGTAAAAGAAGCATTCACCTTTTTAAACACACGTATCTACCCAACTGCCCCTCTGTCTGATTTGGTCAAAAGGCCATCCAAGTCCCTGAACTGGGCCCAGTTTGCCCTTGACAGAGTCTAAAGAAAGGAGCCCCAAGAAGGAGTCATGGGGTCCTTTGGGCTTCTACTCTCTCCCTTCTTCCCCCAAGGCCACACCCAGCAGGAGCTGGCAATGTGAAGAGTCTTGAAGATCCCCAGGGGTAGGATCTGAACCCAGGTCCAGTCCCAACCTCCCCAGCCTGGCTCTATGTGGCCATGTGTCTCTAATCTCCCAGTGTTGTCACAGTGGGAGCCCACAGGAGAATGCAGCTTCCTTCCCAAGCCAACCTCCAGTGTGGTGGGTTCCGTTCTACTTAGCATGTTTATTGAGCACCTACTGCATGCTGGGCCCTGTGAAAGCAGTGACCAAGTCAGACCAGGTCCCTGCCCTCCCAGGCTCGCAGTCCAGAGGGAAAGACAGTCTGCAGCTGCATAATCGTATGAGTAAGTGTGAAATTACAGTAGTGACACATGTCAAAAGAGACTGGAGATGTTATCTGGAGGGAGGGCGTGTGGAAGACACTGGATAGGCTGTGGGCTTGTTGATCAACAAACCAATACACCACACTCATCTTTCCATATTCAAACACTCAGACCATCCTATTAAAAAAAACACTGTATAGTACAGGGTACTATATTCAATATCTTGTGATAAATCATAATGGAAAAGAATATGAAAAAGAATGTATATATATGTATGTATAACTGAATCATTTTCCTGTACAGTAGAGATTAACACAACATTGTTAGTCAACTATACTAAAATACATTAAAAAAAAATTTGTCCCACAAAGACACACTGCCCACATTGTTATCTATGCCGCGGCTGCTGCTGCTGCAAAGTCACTTCAGTCGTGTCTGACTCTGTGCGACCCCACAGACGGCAGCCCACCAGGCTCCCCCGTCCCTGGGATTCTCCAGGCAAGAACACTGGAGTGGGTTGCCGTTTCCTTCTCCAATGCATGCATGCATGCTAAATCACTTCAGTTGTGTCCGACTCTGTGCGACCCTATGGACAGCAGCCCACCAGGCTCCTCTGTCCAGGGGATTCTTCAGGCAAGAACACTCCTATCACAGACTTTACCTTCCTTCCCAGGACTCAGTGAAGCCTTGGCACTCTTTGATCCTCATTTTACAGATAAGGAAACAGGTTTGGAATGTGAAAGTAACTCATCCAAAAGTGCACACCATGTGAAGAGCCAGGAAGAATTTGAACCCAGGACAGTTTGCTCTAGTCACTACACTTCTTGCCCTCCATTCTGTCCCTAAGAAAAATGCATAATAATTTTAAGAGGGACAGTTCTCTTTTTTTAGGAATAATTCTTGGCAAAAGAACTTTTTTTGTTTGTATTGTGACTCTGTGGCATTTGGGATCTTAGTTTCCAGACCAGGGATGGAACCCACAACCCCTACATTGGAACTGCAGAGTCTCAAACACTGGACTGGCAGAGAAGTTCCTAAAATTTTTGTTGTTGTTGTCGTTGCTATTTTTTAACAACTCTGGGAAATAAGATGTGGCACCTGAGTCTATTGGGCTTTCCAGGTGGTGCAAGTGGTAAAAAACCCACCTGCCAATGCAGGAGACAGAGATGTGGGTTTGACCCCTGTGTTGGTAAGATCTCCTGGAGTAGAAAATGGCAACCCACTCCAGTATTCTTTCTTGGAGAATCCCATGGAGAGAGGGGCCTGGCAGGCTACAGTCCATGGGGTCAGAATGAGTCAGACACAACTGAGCGACTACTATTTTGGGGCTTCCCTGGTAGCTCAGAAGGTAAAGAATCTGCAATGTGGGAGATTTGAGTTTGATCTCTCCATCAGGAAGATCCACTGGAGAAGGGAATTCTTACTTGGAGAATTCTGTGGATAGAGGAGCCTGGTGGGCTACAGTCCATGGGGTCACCAAGAGTCGGACATGACTGAGCGACTCCACTTAAAAGGGAAGGATGTTCTGACACATGCTACAGTTTGGATTAACCTTGAGGACATTATGCTAAGTGAAATAAGCCAGACACAGAAGGACAAATACTGGGTGATTCTGCTCTTACGAGTTTCCTGAAAGTAGTCAAACTCACAAAGAAAGTAGAATGGTAGGTGCCAGGCACTGGGGGAGGGGAGAATGGGGAGTTGTTGCTTTTTCATGGATACAGTTTCAGTTTTGCAAGATGAAAAGAGCTCTGGGCCTTCCCTGGTGGTGCAGTGGGTAAGAATCTGCCCGCCAATGCAGAGGACACAGGTTCAGTCCCTGGGAAGATTTCACATGCTGCGGAGCAGCTAAGCCAGTGCGCCGCANCTCCCGGAGCTTGCTCAGACTCACATCCATCAAGTCAGTGATACCAGTGGAAGAAATGTAGAAGTGTCTCCCTTCCACCCCCACCTTCACCTCCCCCACATCTTGGTTCCCTCCCCAAAGGCCCCACTATTATCACTCCTACTCTTCCTTCCTCAGATAGTTTCTGCATTTGCAAACAGATCTTTCCTTTCTCTGACATTTGTATTTCCAACAGTGTTTCCACACTTAAAAAAATCATTATGACAAAATACACATAACACTTCAACCATTTTAAAGTGTATAATCCAGTGGTATCAAAGACATTCACCATGTTGCACAACCATCGCCTCCTATCTAGTTTCAGAATGCTTTCATCACCCTCAGAAGAAACCCTGTTCCCATTAGCAGTCACATCCTAGCCCCCCTCCCCTAGCTCCTGACAACTGCTAACCTACTATCTGTCTCCATGGATTTGCCTGTTCTGGACATTTTGTATACTTAGAATCATACACTGTGTCACATTTCCTGTCTGACTTCTTTTACTCAGCATGATATTTTCAAGGTTCCTCCAGGCAGTAGCATGTGTCCCTGCTTCATTTACTATGAACAGTATTCCACTGTTTGAAATAATGGGAAGTAAACAGTTGTGTTTTTTTTTTTAATCTGCTAATGAGCATTTGTTTTCTTTTCTTCCTTTTGGTGGTCCTAAATTGTACTGTCATGAACATTCAAAAACTTTCACAGTATTTTGACACTTGTAATTATTTGGGGAGTATCCCTAGAAGTAGAATTGCTGGGGCCTTCAGTAACTATGTTTAACCTCTTGAAGAACTGCCAAATTTTTCCACAGTAGCTAGACTTTGCTGAGAGGCTTTCCAATGTAACCATTTTTTTTTTTTTTAAAGCTCTCCATCCCTCCCCTTCCCTTTACCTAGGGGTGTCCCAGGCACTGTGCTGCTGGTTACACTGTTGCTAAGCCAGGCTGAACTCACAATTTGGCTCTTCCAGCCAACTTTGTTTCACCTTGCTTGTCCCTCTCCAAGGAATCAGTTACTCCTGATCCAAGTCCCAGCCCCTTCCACGTGTGACTTGGGACAAGTGACTTAGCAGCTCTAGGTTCCTTTTCCTCACTTGCAAAACAGGGTAAGAACAGTTCCTCCCTCCAAAAGCTTGTGATATTAAAAAGAAACAAACATACACTAGGGACTTCCGTGGTGGTCCAGTGGCTAAGACCCCGCATTCCCAAAGCAGGGGACCTGTGTTTGATCCTTGATCAGGAAACTAGATCCCACATGCTGCAATTAAATGTTTGAATGCCACAGCTAAAAATCCTGAATGTCACAACTAAAGGTTCCACATGCCACAATGAAAATCGAAGATCCTGAGTGCTACAACTAAAACCTGGCACAGCCAAATAAATAAATGTGTGTTTTTTTTAAAGACCTTAAAAAGAAAAAAAGAACACTAGTGATGGGATTAAACAGGGACTGCATCCAGTAAACACGAACTTTTATCCCCAGTCACTCGTGGCAGTAGCATGTGACTCAGTTTCTCTGATCACCATTAACTCTGGGTGTTAACAGTTTCCTTTTTCCCCCCCAGTGCAATGGGGGGGAAGATGACAGCCACTGTGGTTTCTCTCTTTCCACAGCCCCGGCTTCTAGCAATGCATGCACTTCATCCAGACATTTATTACATGTTTGAATGATAAAATCTGATTCTTGGTAAGATTTTAGTTCTGTTCTCTTCTTCCCATTGGCTGAGCTCTCACTCCCAAGCCAGCCCAGGCAAGATCTCAGATTTTCTGAATTCTACCTGAAGCTGCCAGAGACCAAAATAGCCACTAAGTATGTGATCTCGGGCTTGAGCTTGCAAACAAGGCTTTGGGCAGTTCAGAGAATGCTGCATTGGGTATTCTGAGGCCTGGGTCAGAGACAGACAGTCCTTGGTCAGCACCCTGGTTAATCCAGGACAAGGCTGCTTGGAATGAGAGGTCAGTGACCCAACTCCAAGGTCCAGCCCTGTTTCTAAAGATGCAGCCAGAAACTCAGTGTTATTTTTCTGGCTATCTTGGGAGGAATTCTGACCTCTGATGAACGTGGACTGGGGACCTACTGTGTGCCAGGCACAAAGCTCTAATGGAGACATGCCCCTGCTCTGGAATTTAGGGCAGGAAGTGGGAAATAAACCAGAACAGCAGTGCCTCTAAAGGGATGATTTCTGAATGTGACTGCTGCTCTGAAGAGAGTGGAACAAGGAAATGAGATGGACCTACTTGGGTGGTGGTGAAGTGGGGTAGGGATTTCAGCCGAGGTGAGGCGGACACCTAGGAGTTTATGTTCCAACTGAGTTCTGAAGGAGAAGCATTTGGTTTCGCAGTAATCTTCAGAATATGTTCCAGGCAGAGGGAGCAGCAAGTGCAAAGGCCCTGCGGCTGGGCCCTTGGAGGACTGCTGGGGTTAGGGCAGCTGTGTCCTGGAGCAACAAGCGGGGGAAGGCCTGGTCTCTGGGGCCACATCAGCCTCCTCAACATAAGAGCCTGCTTCAGGCACCACCCAGTTGTGCCGTGTTTTCACTTTATTTCGTTCCCCCCCTCAAACTCCTGGCCTGAATGCCGCATCTGTGGCCCCAGGAGGCTTTAGGTGAGTGGCTTCCCGAACTATGCCTCACTTTTCTCATCTGTCAAAGGGACCGAATAAAGGAGCCTTACACACGGGGGCGGTGGGGAGGGCTCCGATATAATTCACAGCAGCGAACAGTGAACATTTGTGGACTACATGATCAGCTCGTCCCCAAGGCATGACTCAGTGAGTTCGAGCGGCCACAGCCTGCGAGATGAACCGTCCGAATCTTGCAGGTGGGAAAACAGGTTGGGGACCGCGAGGAGTCACGCACTTCTCAGCGGAGAGTTACGGACGCGGTGCGCGCGCTGCGTCTCAGGCCCGGGCACGCGCACGCCCGGCGGCCCGGGCGGGGGCGGGGCNTCTTTCCTGCCCGGGCTGTTTGTGGATAAGCCTGCTCCCCCCTCCCCCCCCTTCCTCTGTCACCAACTCCCCGAAACTAACTGCGCCTCCCCCTCCGAGAGACTCCACCTCGGAGCCTCGTGGGCGTCAACTTCCGCCGGGCCTCTGCCAGGGGTGGGAGGGGGGGACCCGTCCTGAGGGGTGACAGTGAGCAATCCGGCTGAGACTCAAACAGGTGGTATGTGGCCCAGGAAGGTCCTGGCTGGCCCTGGAATTCCTAGGAGGACGGAAGAAGCCACTTACTTGGCAGGTGTGTCACGCTGCCAGAGGGTCACTTTCCCCTGCAGCCCTCCTGTGTCCGCTTGTTTATTACTTTAGGGCTGACTCTGGCGGCGGCCCTGGGAGGGACATTTTTCTGGCCTGATGTTATTAGATCTTTACCGTCTCATTTTGCAGAAGGGGATACCTAGGCTCACAGAGGTGCCCTTGTTTGTCAGTGTCTGAGCTGGGACCCATGTTTGGTCCATGCAGGACGAGGAAAGGGGTAGTGAGATTCTGACCCTACTTGGGGGCCCCCTGCTGTTCCAGGGCACAGTATTCATCCCAGGGCTATGATACCGCTTGGGGCACTTGGCCCAGCTGGAGTGATCCACGACACGTGATCAAGGACAGCCTCTCTTCAAGAGATTTATTTTTTAGATAGTATGTTTGGGTTGGTCAGAAGAGGCAGGCCACAGACTCTGCTGGGTTTGGGTTTGAATCCCTGCCCCTCCGTCTTCTCGCTGTGTGACCGTGGACAGCTGGTCTCACCTCTGTGTTTCAGTCAGGAAACACCCTTGCCTGAAAGGGAGGCACAGGGGGGCTGAAGGCCACAGGGCGTGCAGAGCACCCGGCACATCCTTAGGTACAGTCTGGTTTGTAAATAAATGGGGCGCAGTGACTAGGGAGGAGGATGATGGGATGGTGCCTGGACAGCCTGACCTGGGAGATACCCACGTACATCCCTTAAGGGCCATTCCTTATCAGACCGTGAATCACGGAGCACCTCCAGCCCTGTAATTCCAGAGCCCAGGAAAGGTGAACGAAGACAGTGATAAAATCGTTATATTTGGGGGTCACAGCAAGGGGAAGACACTGCGAGGGAAACAAAGTTGGCCTTTTCTGGAGCAAAAGCGGGCGCTGGCCCCTTGGCGCACGAGGCCAGGTGAGAGTGAGAGCAAGGAAGGACTTGCAACTTCAGTTAAGAACAGTTACGTGGCGGGGTTCTCTGAAGGGGTGCACCCCAGAACTTGAACCGGGCCCCTGACATTGTCCCAGGCATGGCTGCTCCCGAAGCTCGGTGCTCCGTTCTTGTGGATACACGCAGCCACCTGGCCCTGGGCGGGCCAGGAGGGGCCGCTGGGTGGTGATGTGCTGCTTTTACTTTTTTTTCAGGATTCGGCCCTTTTGGGGAACACACTGTGAATGCCAGTTGGATTGCGGTCCAGGTAACTGAAACCAGAGGGGAGAAATCAGGCTGGGCTTCCCCTGGCAGTATCTGGTGCCAAAGAAAGCAAGGAACCTATGAAGAGAGCATCTCCCATGAAGTTTCCCGGAGAGAGATGTTGAGTCATAGATATTCCTGCTCAGATAGTTACTGCTGTAATGTTTGTTGAGTGCTTGCTCTGTGCCAGGCATTTTTTTCTGCCTAGAGCACTGAGTTCTTCCAACAACCTTTAGGTGTGTTTATTCTTGTGGCCACTTTACAGATGAGGCAACTGAGGCCCACAGAGAGTTATTTGAGGTCATCCAGCTGAGAAACCAGAACGGTCTTTCTTCAGAAGTGTCCCATGCCCCAGCCAGGTTTAGGGGGGGCCAGGCAGGGATATTGGGAATTGTGGCAACCTTGTAGAGGGGATTGCAGCGGTCCTCTGTGTTGCCTCCTGGCAGCTGAAGGAAGCAAAAACTGCATATTGAGGGCAGGGAGGGGGGAGTCTTCCCAGTTGTCCCAAGCCTTCTAGTTTCTTTGTCAGCTGCGGCATTTGGAGAGACAGACTGGGAAACAATGGGCAGAGAGAAAGAGAGAAACATTTTCTCCTTATATAAATCAGATCTGCAGAGACTGGAGCCAAACTAGTGTTAATCCTCGCCCATTAGCTGCTTGATTTAAAGCACCCCCTGCCCTGGCTTTCCACTCCAGAGCCCTGAATTTGGAGGAAAATCCAAGTTGAAACCTCAGTGTATCAACACCTAGTTGGGAGATCCCCACGTTTTTTTATACCCTTCTTCCAGACCTCAAAATCTCAGCCACATTCGTCTCTCTTTTTTAAAAAAATTTCACCCCACTTTGGAAGCAGGACAGAGGGACGGGACCCCCGGGACTTCACAGATGGGAGCGTGTCTGAGGCCCTGCTCGCCGCACCCGCTCCCTGGAGCCCCAGACAAAAAAGAAACAGCGTGTTTCTCAAGATGTGTGTGTCTGGCTTTGTGCGAGTTTCAGACAGGAGTCTTCACGGGGCTGAGTGGACACAAAGCCGTGTGTCTGAATTCCCGGGCCCCCAGACACTATGATCTGCATCTAAATAGGAGAAAAATCAATTAAACAATCTTTGGAAATCCCTCCGAGCATCAGGACTCGGATGGTGAAGGATGACAGCTTCTCCTCCTGCTGCCGGAGGGGAGATCCACTTTCTGTTTCAGTCAACCCTCCCTCCAGACTTCGCCTCTAGAAGTCTTTCAGTTTCCTTCCTTTACTTTATGAGACAGGAAGAGGAGGTTCTCCACCATTCCCCAGCTAAAAAGATGCCAACCTTCCCAGACCTGATCGTTTCCCTTTTAAAAAGCTGGAGCCGCCCCCATGTACCCTGAGTGCACGCAGATATCTAACTCCATGATGTTCCACGTCTGTGCACCTCTGTGGCGCCTGAGTCCAGATTGAGACCTAGAACATTCTCAGACCCTCCTCTGCTCTTCTGCATTGCAGAAGCCCCTATGTCCTTTCCCAGCTACTCCCACTGCCCCCTGCCCCCCACCCAGGTGCAGATGTCTCTGCAGACTTTATGGCCACCATAGGTGCATTCTGCCTATTCTAGAACGTGGTGTCAATGCAGTTGCAGTTGGGGCCCATGCCTTTGCACTCCAGTACTCTTGCCTGAAAAGTCCCATGGACAGAGGAGCCTGGTGGGCTACAGTCCATGGGGTCACAAAGTGTCGGACATAACTGAGCGACTAAACAACAACCCACACCTTCTGTACGGCAGGGCATCTGCAGGATCCCCCATGGGGTACCTTGGAGCTGCTGGTGGTGCTTCTCAGTTACTCTGGATGGAACAGATTTGCCCATGAGAGGGGCATAGCCACCGGATGGGTCTAACCCATTCCTCAAGAAAATCTGCCTAGGAAGGCCCTTGGTGTGGTCCAGGCATTAGCTGTGGGCAACCACTGATGTCATCAGCTCAAGCTGAAGATGGATGTTGGGTGAGGGGAGGTGAGCAGCAAGTCACCTCCTGTCCCAACTGCTTCTTCCTGAAGCTTAAGCTGCCACCTGCGGAAGGAACTCCTCCTCCTCTGCCAGGGACCAGATCACCCCTCTCGGTCTGTCTCTCCATGTCTCTGTGTCTCTCGGTTTTTCTCTGGGTGTCTCTTGCTCTCTGGACCTCTGTCTTTCCCCTTCTCTCTTCATATCTCTTCCCCTCTGTCTCTCTCTCCCAGTTTCCTGTGGCCTCTCTGCGTGTCTGTCTTTCCCTGTCTCTCTCTCTCTTCTCTCTCTCATCTGACCTTCCTTCTGCATGCCCTGGGTGAACTTGTGCCCCAGCAGAGAGTGACCTGTTTCCCACCAGCTCCATGGGGGAGGTGGGAGTTCTGGGGACAGAGGGGCACTCCACCCTTTCCTCTTGCCCAAGACACCGCTGCGTCTCAGCACCTCAAGCAGGAGAGGAGTGCATTTTTCAAGTGTCACATCTCCTCGCAGGTCTTGGGTGGTCAGCATGGGATGCTAGCTGTGGGTGTGTCTCTCCCTAGGAAGCTCAGGTGGGTGTCAAGGGCTGGGACCCCTTAGCTGGGGGAAGTCTGGAGCCTTCCCTGACTGAGCAGGGCAAGGAGGAACCGGGTCACAGGTCCTAGTGACATCACGGAACAATTACTGCCGCAGTGAGTCTAGACAGACCTGCTAAGGATATTAACCAGGGAACAAAGCAGGTCTTTGTTGTGGGGTCAAGGGACTCGGTCAGACGCGGCCGAGCGGCAGGGTCTTGTCAGGTAGACGGGGTGTAGACAGTGTTGTCTGGGGCGCCCAAGCCCCTTTCCTTTCACGGAATGTGCCTGGTGGACTTGGGATGCACTGCTACCCTCCCCCCCCAGGAAAACCCTCCAGACCTTTTGGAGCAGAAAGTATCCAGAGGCCAGGAATTGAGCTTTTCCTAACTTCAAGTGAGAAGTGTAGCTATTCCTCTCCCACCCTTGCCCTTCTTAAAGTTGGGGAATCATTTGTATAAAGTCATGTACCCATGTCTTCAATGCCCGCATCACTTTGGTGAAAAGTATTTATGCCTAGGACTTCCCTGGTGGTCCAATGGTAAAGACGCTGCACTTCCACTGCAGGGGACTTGGGTTCAATTCCTGGCCCAGGAAGATCCCCATATACTGTGCTGTGTGGCAATAAAATAAAATAAAATAAAAAAGTATCTATGCCCATGTCACTAATGCTTTGAGCAAGATAGTTGTTTGATTGCCATCAACCCAGAGCATTCTTTCCTGCTCAGCACCCGCCCCCTGGCCCCCATCGCCTCACCCCGCCCTGCAGGCCGCTGATTCTTGAGCTCTGCCACCACAGATGGGTGCTGCCTGGTCTCACGCTGCAGGCAAGGAGATGGTCCATGGAGCGGGCTCCACGGTCCTCTCACGCTGGCTGCTTGTGCTCAGCCTGCGCTGGTGTGTCTGTGGGGGCAGGGACAGCTGTCTTCTCTCCCGACCGCCCCCTTCCCCTTGGCACTGGCACTGGGGGCTTCAGGGTTCGCTCCCCAAGGATAAAGCAGCAAGGATGCCCCTCTCAGGGTCTCTGATGAACATGTGGACGCCTCTCTGGGGATGCTGGCCACGTGACGTGTGTGTATCTTCAATGATGATTTTCTTTTCTTTTTAAATTTCAGCTGCACTGGGTCTTCATTGCAGTGTGGAGCCTTCTCTAGTTTCAGCACATGGGCTTAGTTGCCCTGAGGCCTGTGGAATCTTAGTTCCCCAGCCAGGGATCAGACCCCACGTCCCTTGCATTGGAAAGCAGATTCTCAACCACTGGACCACCAGGGAAGTCCCAGAGATGGTTTTCTTAGTTTATTTTACCCCCAGCTGGGGAGGGGGTAGGTGAGGACCCAGAGGACATGAGGAGAAAAGGTTAGAACAAGAAGGTGACCCACTCCATGATACCATGCTGGCATCAGGTGATTTTTAAATCAGCCGTCGATGTGGGCAGTTATTCCCACTAATGCTGGGTAAACGTCACCCAGTGGGAGTGAGCCTTGAGTTACTCTGTGCAGATGAGGGTGATCGGCATGCAGGGACCCGTCTGCTGGATGAAGGGAGAGGGGCACAGAGAGGCTCCATGGGGGGGCTGCTGCGTGGCCGTCTGGCACATCACATCGTGGTGGCCACCAAGAGGGTTCCTGTGCCCGCTAGAGTTTCCCTGGCTGGGATACTAACCGAGTTAGCAGCATCTTCAGTCTCCCAGCCCCCCACCCACAGAGATGGTTCCCCCAGTTGACTTGCCCGCACATTGGGTAGCCTGTCACATGGACAGCAGTCTCGCTTTGAGGACAAGTCCCCAAGCCAAACTCTAAGTCAATAAAGAAGTCCTCACTTAACCTGGGGGATAGATTTTTTTTCTTGAGGATTCTTTTTAAAAATTATTTATTTTAGGCTGCACTGGGTCTTCATTGCTGCGCGCGGGCTTTCTCTGGTTGCGGAGAGTGGGGCTATCCGCTGGTTGCGGTGTGTGGGCTTCTCCCTGCAGTGGCTTCTCTTGTTGCTGAGCACAGGCTCCAGGGCTCCGTCCTCAGTGGTTGCGGCACATGGGCTTAGTTGCTCTGCTCCGTGTGGATTCTTCCCGGACCAGGGATTGAACCGGTGTCCCCTGCATTGGCAGGCCAATTCTTAACCACGGGACCACCAGGGAAGTCGCGGATTCTTTGAATTACTGGCCTTTCATCTTCTGTTGCCAGAAGGGGCTGCCAAGTCCATGGGGAAAAAAAGCCGGAGAGGGGACAGGAAAATTTCAAGCTGCAAGGGGCAGAAGGGTAAGGAAAAGTGAGGTTGTCATTGACAGGATATAAAGATAAATGAAATTATTTACCTTATGCCGAGAGAGGTCTTTGCTGGAGATTTCTCCTCTCAGCAGTGGTGGGAGAGAAAGTCATCTTTCAGTTAAGTTCAGT